GTAGCAGATGACTCTTGAGAGATTTTTCTTTAAGCTCAGTAATTCAGCTTCCCATGGGTTCAGTTCTATTTCCTTGCCCTTTCAGTGTTTCATCTATTTCTCAAGTCTTAGTGTTAATCTTACGGCTTTCTAATCGTTGTTTTGTATGGTTCTCAATTTTTTTGGATTATTTGGTTAGTTTCCTACAATTTTCCATAGTTTTCCTTGATTCCATCCGCAGTTTTCTTGATCTTTCTCTCAGTCCACTGAAGTTGCCTCATTAGCATTCTTTTATCAGTTTGATACACTTTCTGGTACTGTATTTTATGACTGTATTTTGGTCACTTGTTTGAGGCACTCTGTTTTGTTTCTTTGTGTAAATTGAAATTGCCCGCTTTTTCCAAGACATTGTGGTGCTGTATTTATGTTTAGCTGATGATTGGATATTGGTGTGTCTTCAGGCACTCACCACCTGTCTCCTGGTGGATGTGGTGGAGACCAGAAGTGTGAATGCAGTTAGTTCTCTGTTTACTGGTTATGTAGCATAGTTCAGGGTGGGTTCACATGCCTCCAGAAGCAGGGGCGCTATGCCAGGCTTCTGATCCCAGGCAGAGCAGAGGCTGCACAGGAAGGGGTGCCACTGGCCATTGGACTTACAAGGGTGGGAACTGGCTATGTCCCTGGCTACCAGGAGGGTCTGTGAGCAAGGGAGAATTGCACCCCCTTGCTGCCAAATTCTACCCATACCCTGTATCAGCAGCTGCTTGAAAAAGCTCAAGGTGGCTGTACTTTTCTATGCCAGCCCATAGTATACCTGTTCTTCTTCTTTCTCCCTGCTTCTTTTCAGCTTCCTTTTCTAGTCGGCACCCAATCCACCTCTCTGTCCTATCTCCTGATGCTCAGGGTTCCAGGATCACCATCTGTGTCTATTTCACTTGGCCTTCCATGTCTTTGTTGCAGAGGATTGGCTCAGCACATCTGCTTTCTCTACCATCTTGCCCTGGACCCCTAGGGTAATATTTTAAAATATAATATTAATATAGAAGTAGTTGAACTTCAGTGCAGATCATTTAGAAAATAGTAACACAAAAATTACATCTGTTACTCTAATATTGGGAATGTGTTGACTTTAAAGCATAAATACTAGATTGCAAACCACAAGATCAGTGGTTCAATACCACCAACCACCCCATGGATGAAAGATGTGACTTTCTGCTCTCACAAAGATTTGCAGCCTCAGAAACCCTACATAGGGTCATTATGAGTTGGAACTGATTCTACAGCATTTAACAACAACAACTATAATATCAGGGTTTATTATGGTCATAATCTTAGTGTACATGATTTTATATCCTTTTGAAGTTACTATTCTATCGTAACATGTATGTTTCCATATCTGTACCATCCTTTTAATAGCAGTCTTGGTGTGGCACTGTAGGATTAGCACTGGACTGTTAATTATAAGGTTGGCAGTTCAAACCCACCAGCTGCTCCTCATAAATCCTATACAGGGTCATTATGATGAGTCAGAACAGACACAATGACACATAACAATATAACATTTTACTGAATAGGATATAATATGTGTTAATTGTCTATACCACCCAGGAACTCCATGGAATGTATTGAATTAGACATATAACAACTCAGTATAATATAGTTCATGTTAGAATTTAGGTGGTTCTACTTGTTTCACTGAGTCCTGGTGTGGCGTTGTGGGTTAATGCGACAGACTGCAAAGCCATTTGAACTGCAAGGTTCATGGTTCAAGCTTACCAGCTGCTCCTCGGAAACCCTATATAGGGTTGCTATGGGTCGGAACCGATTCGACAGCACTTAACAACAACAACTTCTTTCAGTATCATAAATAATGCTATGTAAGATAATATACTAAAAAGGACAAATATATTCATTTAGATATTTGCATATTTCCAAATATGAAAAGGGTTTAAACATACTTATGGTACTTAATTATATATTGTAAAATTGCTTTCCAAAACTAAGTTTAAGAGGAAATGGCGTGGGCTACAACGTGCCCAATGAAGGAGGCTTCCTGCTAAGCCTCTGCATTACTTAAGACCATAGGTCTTATGTATCCTGAACCCCATCCAGAATCTTCTAAGGTGGGAAATTCTACTTAAAAGGATAAGCACACTAGCAGCTAGAAGAACAGAAGATACTTCTTGAAAGAAAGACCAACAGGAAAAATACAAAACAATAACAGAAGTCTGACTGATTACTACAAGAACAAGCAAGTTGCTCATCCAGGAGATATCAAGGCAAGTGGTCTGGTCCCTCAGGGCAAACCCCCTTCTAAGACTAAAACTCAATGGGAATACACAAGTAGAAGTGTGCTCTGATTAGTGACCACATTCTTCACTGATAGTGGAAGTGAGGGAAAAACAACAATGAAGCAGTGAGCTAAGCCCTACAACGTTCAGTATACTCCTGTGAACCTCGGTGGAGACCTGGTTGGCCAGCAGTTTGGCAAGACCTGGGGACTTTTGGGCCCAGAGTCAGTGACATAGCCACAGAGGACTAGAGTGGAAAATGAAGCGTCCAGCTGCTAAAGAAGAGAGGGCATATGCACAAGAACACCCACACTCGTAGATAATACCCACTTGACCTGGCTTCAATGACTGGATGGTCAGAGCTCAACTAGAAGAGGAAAAAAAGAGTAATCTGATACAATTTGATGAACTTGACCTATACCTACAGATGCAGTATTTCAAAAGAGGGAACAAATCTTTACAGTGAGGATCATTCCCACCCCCTCCATACACAGAGTAGACAGGGATGGGCAACATGGACATTGGCTACTCAAAATGGGGGGGTCACAAAGGCAAGAATGAAGTCCTTGGCAACTTCAGTGTTTTCTCCGTTGATAAGAATGTTGTTTATTGGTCCAGTGGTGAGGATGTTTGTTTTCTTTACATTGAGATGCAATCCATATGAAAGCCTGTGGTCTTTGATTTTCATCAGTAAATGTTTTAAGTCCTCTTCACTTTCAGCAAGCAAGGTTGTATCATCTCAATATCGCAGGTTGTTAATGAGTCTTCCTCCAGTCCTGATACCACGTATTTCTTCATATAACCCAGCTTCTTGGATTATTTGCTCAGCATACAGGTTGAATAAGTATGGTGAAAGAATACAACCCTGTTGTACACCTTTATTAATTTTAAACCATCCAGTGTTCCCATGTTCTATTTGAACAACTGCCTCTTGGTCCATGTACAGATTCCTCATGAGCA